TTTCTTAAACTTTACCCATTCTGAGATATTGTTTAATATCTCAGAACAGAAAATAAAGAAATTAAACAAATTAGATGCCAACACATACACGCACGTGAATTTTTCCTTTTTACTGACTTTTTTGAAGAGTTCGGGAGGTCTCCAAACGTGTAGATTTGCAAAAAAAAAAAAAAACTTGGAGGGTCAAATTTGACACGATTCCAATACTTTTCCGTTTTATATACATAACAAGTTGATAAGTAAAAAGGAGTCGGAGTCAGCGGATTTTTTGACGACTCCGACTCCGGCTAAAACATCAAAACTCCACGACTCTGACTCCACAGCCCTGGTATAAAATAATAATGGATATAGATGAGTTAACTAATTCTTTAAGTGGTAGTTAGTTGAAAAACATCTGAAGATGAATCATTATATCCTACAAGTATCTTTTGAATGCTTTATAAATTTTATTAATAATAAATCTTTAAAGAATGGAACTTAAATTCTAATGTACTTGAGTTAAATTTTTTGTCACTACTAATATTTTTATAGTACAAAGAAAAGGAGGAAATATAAATAAGATGTTTAAAATACTTTCACAAACATAATTCAAACATTATTAATGTATAAAAAACATTTATAGTATGTAAAACTTTTGGAATCATAAGTTTTAGTTTATTACAGGAGCTCCTCTACTTATGAACATTCAACTTATGAACTTTCAGAATTACAAACAATTTGACCGTATGTCTAAAATTTACATTTTGTGCAGATTCTGAAGTTTTCTTGATGGTCATGGAGTGTCATCAAAGTCAGTTTTTAGTCAGTAATAAATAATAAATTTTGAATAAATACTTAATGTGGATTTATTTCTATCATATATTGTCATTTTTTGTTTTTGAATGAATTCTGACATTCCATTGCTGTTAGTGAGATGGCATTGAAGTTGGTAACATTATAGTAAAAGTGATTTTTACTATTGTTTGCAATTTTTATAAACTTTTACAATTTGTGTTTCAAAAAATGCATCCAGAATTTAATAGTAAATCTAACAGTGGAGATAAATGCAAGAAATGTGGCTTTATGACCATGAAAACTAAATTTCACATTATAAAACTAAGTGTGTTAGGTAAAAAATTGCATTTTGAAACACCTTCTACTAAGCAGTAGCAAGTGGATAAATAAGCATAATGTATTATATTAAGTACATGATAAAACACTATAAATAATAATATGTGATTATTCTGTGTACAAATGTACTTTCTAGATCTGTTTTCAACTTATGAATATTTCAACTTTCAACAAAAGCTTGGGAACCTAAACTATTCATAAGTAGAGAAGTGCTTGTATTAGTACAAAAGTTATTGAATGAGGTTTGTGTTAAATTCAAAATTATAAATGACAGAAATCTTTAACAGTATTTCTTATATACCCCTGTGATCAATAAGTATTGGAAAAGATTCAATTATATTTAAGATTTGAATTTATTCATTATTTCATCCCTTCAAAGTAATCCCCTTCCACTGCAATGCACTTACACCAATGCTTTTTCAATCTTCAAAACATACTTGAAAATCATTTTTGTGAAACCTCTTTGGGACTCTCATCAAATTTTTTGTTTTATGACATCAAACAACTCAAAGCAGTGACTACAAAACAGAAATTTTAATCAAGGAAACAAGAAAAAGTCATATGGTGCTATATCAGAATTGTATTTGTTGAATTTTTGGCCAAAAATTCACAAACAACAAGAGCATTGTGATCAGGTTCATTATTGTGGTACAAAATCCATGAGTTTTCTTGCCATGAATCAGGTTATTACAAATTTCTTCATGTAAACAATGAAAAGCACTGAAATAATCATTGTTGGCAGTTTGGCCAATCAGAAGGAATTTGTAATGCACAACACCAAAGAAAAGTCAACATAACCTTGATTTTTGACTGACTTTGATATGGTCTTTTTGCTCTTGCTTCATTTTTCGAGCACCCTTCACTTGATTGTTGAGCTGTAGATCCATACCCATAATGATGTGTTTTAAGAATGATTTGCCTCAAGAAAGCATTTCCACAACCATTTGAATATGTTGTTTTTGGAAAAAATTCAGTGTTTTTGGGATGCCTTGAGAAGCAACATGCCCCAAGCCCAGATGATCTTTTAAAATTGCTTGATAAAATCAAACTGATAATGGAACATATTCAATAATGTCCCTAATTATTAAACAACAATCATTGAGCATCAAATCTCTGACTTGAGTGATGTGTTGTTCTTCAGTTGATGTGGATGGTCTACCAGACCTGGTTTATCTTTGATCCATTCTCTGCCTTCCTTGAATATCTTGTACCACTCAAACTTTTTTTTTTTGCTAGACTATCATCACCAAAGGTTTTTTTCAACATTTCCAATGTTTTTGTAGCAGTAATTCTGTTGCAAAACTCAAAATTTAATTCATGTTTTTTGTTCAATTACACTCAACATTTTGAAAAATTGCTGATGAAAATTTCTTTACAAACAAAACAACCATGTATTTTCAAACAAAAACAGACAATGACTTATGGATTGCTGTTAGATGTCAATAAAAGTCATACCAAACAATGAAAAAAATAACAACAGCACCCTCTTGCACTTGCCTGGTTTAAATGAACCATTTTCGATACTTTTTGATCATAGTAATATATGCATAATAATTAGATGGATAAAATATTCATTATTAAAATATCTGCTATATATTAAAATGCTGCTATTAAAATATTTGTGATTATAACTAACATCAAATTTAAAAAATAAACTGAACATGCATTTTATAATACTATAAAATTACAAAAACAATTTATAATCTACAATAAATGAAAGATTACATTTACTAAAAATATGTTAGATTATTAATATGTATCCAGAAATGTTTTAAAACATATGAGGGCAATTTTTTTCAACCTCCAATAGTCTATAAGAAAAAGACAAGCGTAAATAACAAAATGAATTTATTACCAAAAGTTAGGTACAAACATGGTTACTTTTCAACAATCACTGTGAAGATTGATGCATTTTTCATATCTGTGTATGAGCTTTTCCATCTCCTCTTCATAGAATGTTGCCGCCAGTGAATTGAGATGGCCTTAATGATGTTTGTACCTAACTTTTCATAATAAATTCATTTTGTTATTTATGCTTGGTTTTTTTTTATCGACTGTCGGAGGTTGGAAAAAAACAGACTACATATTTAATATTATTGTAATAGTCAATCTACAATTTGTTTTTAGTACTAATTCTCTATCTGACTTAAAATTACTATATTTTACAGTAAGTAAGACACATAGATATAAGATGCATCCCCATTTCAAAACAGAATATGTAGGAAAAAAGTATTTAGTGTGTTTAAGTCATCCCACATAGTAAGATGATTGTGACAAAATATTAAATACAGTAGACCTCCCTATAAAATGGGTTCATATAATTCAGATTCCTATATGATGGCAAAAAAATTGCAACAGTATTCGTACAAACATGCTAAAAAAACTTGTATAATTCGGTAAAACATCATCGCCGACTTGTGTCGCAACAGAATTGGTCAAATCTAGACCAATAGCGAATATTGTACAAACTGTTGAGTTTAAACAAGCAGCAGACCTACTAAAAACCTTTTATTATTTAACGTCCATAAAAATTATATTTATATTAATGATGTCTCCAAAGTTCAGCGAATTTTTCGCAAAAAAATAATTTATCAGGAAGTACGCGAGTGCCATTCAATGACAAGCTCCACGACGAAAACAAGCTTAAGCAATGGCGTAGTCGAACGGTGCATGCTCAGTAAGTAATCCTAAAATTTTTTGTTTATAGCATAGTTTATATGGATTATTCCCAAAAAATTATACATATTTTGGAAATGATGAGTTGAATTAGTCTAGAATCGGTTAATTTTATGGAAGAAAACCTTTCAAACAGCCATAGTCTGTAAACTGCATACATGCTGGGCTGTGATTGGCTCATGTATTTAAGGACTCATAGAACATCAATTTCATAAAGAATGGAACATATCTACCGTGTTATAGGGGGGTTGACTGTACATATAAGATAGTAATATGTATATGTAGTGATATGAGATCTACTTGTTCCCCCCATTGCAATCTCTGTTACATATAAATATGTATGCTACTCTATGGTATATACTTTGTCGGATTTATATATATATGTTATTTTATTTATTGTTCTAAGAATGCTAAAACTTAAAAAAATGTTATGAGAAAAAGTTTAAAAATTAAAAACAAAAAAAAAAATTTAGAACCAGAGAATGCAAAAAAAGATTGGAATGTTGTAGGAGAGAGTTCATTTTTGAAAAATTAAAGAAAAAAATGTTTCAAATTCATTTCTTTTAAAGATTTTTGTTAAAAAAGGGACCTGTAGTGATATTGTATTCTGTACAGTATAAGTGTTGAGAAAATGTTACTGTTTAACTTTGAACAGTTGGTTGAAAATTGTTTCATGGTATCTAATATTTATAATAATGCTGTTTTGCATAATTAAAATTAGTAGTAATAATATATTTAATTAAACAATAAGCTTTTTATTTAAGAGTTGTACTAGGTAGAGATTACTCTGTAGTCTACTGAAAGGCCATTTGGGGAATTCTTTAACCTATACAAGAATGCAACTTTACATATAAGACATGGTGATTTTTTTTAAACCTTTCTTTTTAACGAAACTTGCATCTTATATGCCATAAAATATGGTAATTGATGAAACATATCTTAAAGTTTTAAGTCAGTTTCTTATGAAGTAATTATTATTTATTTTTATGAAAGTTACAAAATTTAAAAATTATGAAATATCTGTTAATTAGTTTCTGTTAAAAAGCCAGTTTAATATCAATTTAATGATCTTATATTCAAAATTTTAATAATCTTTCAATCTATGTAGTTCCTAGGTCATATATTCTATACTAGATGAAAGTAGAAAACTTTTTTCTGATATATTTTGATTGAATAAAGCCTAAAATAATACAAAACTTTCAAATATATTTTAGGTGCATTATTTCTAGACAGTGGTATTAATGTTGCTGACAGAGTATTTTGTGAGACATTATTTTCAAAACCAGAATTGAGAGACGTATGGAAAAATCTACCTCCACATCCCTTGCAGGTTAAATAAGAATAGAGCTTATAAATAACTTTTAAATAAAATCTATAGCTTTATTGCTTTAAAGTTTATAGTTTACCTAACTTTATTATTATTTTTTTAAGGAACAAGAACCAGAGGGTGATAGAAAATGGATTGAAGTGGTTCCACTTTTGAAAGTAAATATCTGTTCAATGATATTTTATAATACAATATAAATTAAAAGTATATAATCTGAAAAATTTTTTAATAAGCAACTTAAAATATATTTTAAATTTCTATGAAATTATTTAAAATTTATTATGATAATCCTACAGTAGATTTAAAATTTTTAAACTAACAAATAAATCAAATAAGAAATACAGTGGTACTTTGTATTTCAAACAACTCTAACTTGGAATGCTTCAGAGTTTGAACACTAAATTCAACAAAAATATGCTTCAAAGTTCAAATTGTGCATGCACTGAAAAAAAATGCCCAAACTGTAAATGCAAGTCATCTCTCACTCTTATGTTATGATAGTATATTTTCAGTGCTTTTTGCTTCATTTTTGGTACATTTGGTTATATATATTGTGTTTTTTTTTGTTGATTTTTAACAATTTCTTCCTGCAATTTTTCTTTGTCAAAAATCTTTTGAATACCCCATACATTGTTAATTCATTAGTATAAATTTCCTGAACAGAACTTTTTAACCGCATTTGCATATTTGAAGCTTAGGATCATTTTTCCCCCATACATATTATGAATATTTTTTACTGTTTGTATGGCGCATCCTTTCTGACATTCATAAAGAGTAACATGCTGGTATGCTTTTTATCTGAAGATATTTTGATTCAATTTTATTCAAACTAAATACCAAGTAAAAAGTTTAAAATAAGCTTCTAAACAAAGAATATAATCTCTCATTAACAATAATGTATTAAATTTCATGACTGTTACAACTAAATCACACAACTATGTTAAGTAACAACAACTGTTAAAAATAGGCAGAAATTTTCTGTTCAACTCAATATAACTTTTACTATTAACTATGGAATCTGGAAAGGGTATGGAAGTAACAAAGTCTAAAAAGAAGGTTGTAGTATCAACAATTGAAATTAAAAAGGAACTTATCATAAAATATGAAAGTGATACATGTGTGGCAGATCTGGTGGCCATGTTTAAGATGCCAAAGTCAACAGTTTGTGACTGGTAAATGTAGTTTTCATTTTATTATACAGTATTATTTGTTGTTTTGTGTTTCGGTTTATCATCAGGGCATTTAATTGTGTTATTTTTATCTTAAATTATGTGTATTGCTGTTAAGATTATTAAAATGGGTATTAATTAATTTACTTTTTATTATTTCTTATGGGAAAAATTGCTTTGGACTTCTGATGATTTGGAGTTCAAATGACCTCCTGGAACGAATTAAGTTTGAAGTACGAGGCACCACTGTATTGAAAATAGAAATGAAATGAAAATTAAAATTATTTTAGAACTGTTTATAAAAGTTTTTTAAACAATTTTAATATCAGAAATTAGTTTTAAATTGATGAAAAGACAGATTATTTATGATAGATCTTTCCTTATAAGTAACTACCTTTAAGGAAGAGAGATCTATTAGATATTGTCATTTGATTAAAACCTTTTAAAAATTACTTTTTTTTAAACAGCTAATTTTTGTACATTTTCAGAATCAAAATTGTGATATGCCAATTTGTATTTAAATTCATTATGATAATCCTACAGTATATTTAAAATTTTAAATAACAATACAATATATTACTTAATTAATTAAAAAATGCAGTCCTTAAGGCCATTTTTGAAAAATTTTTGTTTTTTGAATTTTTGGAATGTTTTTTAAATCTCCAAATTTTTCAAAATTTTTTTCCTGCACGAAAACATTTTATTGCGATTTTAATTTACCTTTAATGACGTATGCTTCACGCTTAGTTGCTTTTTAATAGTTTTTTAATGGGAGTTTGATATCAAATTTCCTTCATCGTTCTAAAGTTGTAGTGCACGGATTTTCCTTCGGTAAAGTTATTTAAAGCTAAAAATAAATTTAAAAACTCACACCAATATTTGTCTAGTTTCTGGGTACAAATTCACTGAGTTCAGCATTAATAAATTTGTACCCAGAAACTAGACAAATATTGGCGTGAGTTTTTAAATTTATTTTACTTAAACATGGAAACTACGAAATCTCTTTTCTTTTTATTGCTGAAGCAAGTGAAGCTGTGGCAAAAATTACTTGGCCAGTTGCAATTTCTTTTGATGTGCAGAGAAAAACAAGTAGTACCGAAGAGCATTCAACTCAAACGAAAGGCATTCCCGGTGTGCCTGCGAGGGATGCTTCCTAAGGTAGAAAAATCCTTCTTAGCTAAGCTTATCAGGAATAAACGCAAGTGCCTCACGGAAGCAGAACTATAAACTTATCAAACGCATCTGCAATTCTGTAAAGCGTGTGACCCCTCTACGCTATATATAGAATTAGGAAAAATACGGAGCATCGCATCTAATTCTATGCAGGTGATAAGAAAGAAATTAAGTAAAAAACTTCAATGGTTAATGAGCTCGTCACGCATACAAAGAAGAGTGGTAACAACCACTCCATATTATAATTATACGGAAGAGAACGTGCCCGTCGAAGTACACAGCATACTACAAAGGAGGCCCAAATATATCTCCCCTCCTAATAATACCGAACTTAATCAGTTAGTCCCAGCGGCGTTAGCAGCATTGAAATCCTGCCAGGTAGCGGCCATGTACCCACAAATGGAGTTAGAAATCGTCACGAAACTTGCGACGGTGAAATAAGTGTCCGGCGCGCCTAAGCGCCACATGAACCACAGGGCAGTAAAGCAATTCCTAGCTACGAATAACTTGAGGCTTCTGATCTCTGATAAGGACAAACGATTTGTTCTGTGCAAGGAGGACGATTTCATCTCTAGAGCCAATGAGTTCCTATCGCAATCACAATCACAGAGGATAAATGATGATCCAACACCAACAGTACTGCGAAGGACAAAGAAAATAATAGCCTCACCAGGAGTAGCTTCGACTCTAACTGGGTGCCTTGATCCTCCCACCAACGTAGCATGCCCTAGGCTATTCTTTCAACCGAAAACACATAAAGCAAACTGGCCGTTATGCTCACTGGTAAACAAGAGATCACATCCTACTTATTTCCTTGAAAAGGCGCTCACAAAGTTCTTGCGTGAACTTCTTCCGGAATCACCATATGTTACCCCGTCGTCTATAGCTGCCAAGTCCACCATTGCTTCCAATGTGAGAGGTACACATGAAGACTCCTACAACTTCTACAAATTGGATGTGGTGTCCCTATATCTTTCTGTACCAGTTTTTGAAGCCTTAATGCTTGCTAACTCCTTGATCATCAAAAAGGGTTTTAGTGTACAACAAGTGCTAGACATACGTGATGCACTGACTTTCATCACTGAGCACAATTATTTCCTTTTCAACAAGAGCATCTACTTGCAAAAACAAGGAGTTCCTATGGGCTCCCCGCTATCTGAAGTCTTGGCCGAGCTCATTATGGGCTAACCACTTTAGAAGAGTCAGGGGTTTATACGATACACCTAGAAAATCCGGCAACGGGCGATGTTACAAGATATATAGGAGCAACAACAAGAATGCTCGTCTCCCGCCTTGCTGAGCATCAGGATGACATAGCTAAACGAAGATGTTCTACAGAGCTCGCTAAAAAAGTTCTCGAGCAAGGATACAACCCGTTAATGCCCAGAACGGCAATAATTAAATGCTGCAACAATCGAAGGCTTGTGTTTATCTGGGAAGCGCTTCTCACAGCCACTTCAGAAGCATGCAATGTTCCCACCCTTCATCTACTTGGGGTGTGGATTGCCTTGTATTGGCGCCTAAAAAACAAAACACGCCCAACATCGTATCGCCAATGTGGTAGCATCTCCACGCATGCGCCGCTAGCATCGTAAAATATAAAGATTCGAAATATCAAAAATCATTTGCACGTTCGTAATGGAATTTCCGAACACCTGTTTGAAATTAAATATTATGTTCTTTTGGAACATCATGCACGTTTGTTTTATTAAAAACTTGTTCTTTTCGCCTGAAGACGACGGTTATACACTCGTCGAAAGTACTTGTGTTAATACTAAAGAAGCTTTATTAATGCTGAACTCAGTGAATTTGTACCCAGAAACTATTTAAAGCTAGTTTCTGATGTCAAAAACGACCTCCAATAGTTTTTTAATTTTTTTAATTAATAGATTTTATTATATATAAATTTAATTAAGTCAGGGGAGTCGGAAATCGCAACAAAAATTTTAATTTTTTAAAAATACAGTGGTACCTCGGTATACGCCTGCTTTAGAATACGTCCAATTCAGAATACGTCCTGTTTGGACGAAACAAATTTTGCTCGGTATATGACTTCTGTTTGGTATACGACTTAATTCAATTATATGCGCCATCTATGAACAAGTAGCACTATCGGTGTACTAGACCAGACTAGACGTTCGCAGTGCCATGGTTTATTACTTTGTTAAATTTCTTCTGATTTTAATTTGTAAGTAAAATTTTATTATTTTTATTAATCACGAATTGCAAAAAGGAAAATGAAAAGCAACAGTAAACTAAAAAAAAAAAATGACTAGAATTACAATGGAACTGAAAAAAGAGATTGTTGAGAAATATGAAGATGGCATGCGTGTTCAAGATTTAACTGTTGCGTACCGTATTCTGAGAACGAAGATATCAACAATCGTGAAAAATAAAGACATTATTAAATCTGCTAACGTTGGGAAAGGAGTTAAATCATTTTCTAAACAGAGATCAAAGACATTAGATCATGTTGAGAAATTGCTTTTGCTTTGGATAACTGAAAAACAGTGTGCTAGAGACAGCATATCAGAAGCAATTATTTGCGAGAAAGCTAAAAAGTTACATGCTGATCTCCATGAAAAATCAAGCAGGAACTAGCCAGGAAAGCGAGGTGTAAAAAGCCAGCCATTTTTTTTTTTTTTACGTGAGAACGGATTAACATTTTTACGTTACTTCTTATGGGAAAGGTTGGTTTGGTATACGTCCTATTCGGTATAAGTCCAAACATCAGGAACGGATTAAGGTCGTATACCGAGGTTCCACTGTATTTAAAAATATATGGCCAGCTAGTATTCACCCTACTATAAACCCATCGCCTCCCGAGACTTCTATGAGAATGTCCCAGAAAATCCAACTCCAGCTGTGTTCAAGGTCATCCAGCTGTGTAAACAATGACTCATCAGCTTCAGATTTCACAGAAAGGCAAGACAAAGGAAAATAAAATTTGAAGCTTTTTCTTCAAAATTAATGCATTTCTTTCGTTTTTTTTTCAGTTTTAAGTATTTTTTATGTTTAATTACATTAATATCAAAAATGTCTTCGTACGTAACGGGTTAATGTACAAATTATATTTAAGATTAAAATTACAAAAGCAAAAATTATTATTTTAGACAAAGGCTTTTCCAAAATTATTAAAAAAGTAAAAAGTGACTTTAATGCTTTTAATTATAAGACAAGAATTTTGCAAACTATAAAAGTTTATGCTTCTGATGAAATGATATTCATCAGTCAGAAACTTACACTAGACTGTTCCTTATAAACTACTACTGAAGCTTGAAGTTTTATCCTTTTTGTAGTTAAACTTCAGCTGTAACTACCATAATAGTCACATTTACATAAGTAAAAGCTTTTAGCAAGTTATAAAAAAAATCATAAAAAATGGGTTCATCACTTTAAATTAAGAAAAGAAAAAGAACTTGTGTTTTATATTTTATTTTACAAAAATCTTGGGTTATTTTAAACTTGGGAAGTTGAGATGCAAAATTTTATTTAAAAACCGTACTCCTAAAACATATAACACTAAAGCCATCATTTTATTGTGCATAAAAGTATACATAGAACATGTAATACTCAAGAAAACAATAGAAAATTGTCATTTTTGGAATATGATTAATCAGTTTTACAGTTTACAAACAGAAAAGCATTATAACTGCAAACACAGTTCTACACACTATATTCAGCTGCAAACAATACAATGAAATTAATTTAAACTGCAAAAAGATCTCATAACATCAGCAGATGTGAGATATATTTGGTTTTCATTAAAAACTCCAGCTTTTGTGACTGAAGAGACTCAGGAATTATATTTTGAATATCTGATTTGATATGAAATCTGTAATCAATATAAATACAGTAGAGCCTCGATTATCCGACCCCCGATTAACCGACCGTCCTAGTCGGAAAATTTCAAATGTCCACTAGTGATGTGGCGCTACAATATTTGGCTATGTCTTGGCTACTTTAATATTATTTTTACGTGTTTTAGCTGGCAACACTCATTCGACCATGAAAGGGAGCCAGTATTTAAACAAGGCTTAATTTTCTAATTTTTAACGATACAATAGCGACGATTATTATTTAAAAAAATTTTTGTTAGGCTTAACATCAATGAAAATTCAACGCAAAGTAGGTTAATAGCGATATACTAATATACTAATTACATGGGATATAATAATATACTACACTAATAATGGATTTTTTCATACTTTTTGGTTATCTGACTTTTCAATTATCTGACCAACCCCAGTCCCCAATTGAGTCGGATAATCGAGGCTCTACTGTAATATGATATTGTGTAATAATTGATAACAGACAATTAATAGTGTCAAAATATAATTATTAAATCAATAAAATTCTATATCAATAACAATTACAATAAATTACTGTATTTAAAGAGCTTTATTTCAATATTATTCTGAAATTTTATCTAGAAAGGCATTAGAAAACAAATTTCATTAATTCAAGATTTAAAAAACTAGGGAAAAAACACTGACTAGTATATGGGCCAATATGGTATATAAAAATTCTAAATACATCTATGATATGATAAACTTTGTTGGTAGTAGAGATACTAAATGAAGACCATCTATTTTTACTGTTTTTAAAATCACTGTCAATCAATTGATATTTTCTTCAAAGCATTCATAGCAAGAAACTTAAAATTTTAGAAAGGATTAATTTTCAAATTTAAAATTGTTTACAGTTAAATTTGTCAGCAAATCAAAAGCATAATTTAAATTTCTGAATATTAATTGGGTGGAATTTGAGGAGATTGGTTAGAAATTGCTTAATTAACTGTTGATAGTGGAACAAAGCTTAAAATTTAAAATACAAATAAATAAAATTCATGTACATTTTCAGTTTCAAAGTTTGCTAGCATTAGGCCATTAAATAAATTAATTTTTTAATTTCAATAGTAATTCTCAATATCAGTAACATTTAATGTCAATGACAATATTAGCTAGTATCCTTTTTTCTGTGTTTTTCAATATAAACAAAATACCCAATTTAAGTACAAAAATGGGGGAAAGTATAAAAAAATTCTTAGTGGTGTGAAAGGGAATACTAATACCCACTCCAAGTAATTGTAAACTTAATAAAGAACCATTTTGTGATACTTTGAAACAGTTTCTTATGTAAACAATGAAAAGGGAAGCACCTCATTTTCACAATTTTCATTATTATTATGATGATTTTTTGTTTTTAGACAGATTCAATGTGTTATATGAGAATAATTAAACTCTCAATGTATTATTATTATTTTATACATTTATTCATTTTGTTTTCTAATAAAAGGGCTTAAAATTTTTTAAAGCTTGTTAATACATTTTAAAATTTTTTCCTTCAGTACATATATTAACAATATCAAATTGTTTTGTATTATAAATATGCAAATTTTTGGGTAGTAATTTAATTTAATTTTGTTGGATAAATAAACTTAATTATATAAATTCATTTTTAGAAGAGTTTTATTAGAAATCAATGTGAATGATATGTAAATTTTCATATTCAGTTATAGAGCTGTTGTAAAATATTTTTGCAATAAAATTTATGATTTTTATTCTTTTTAGGAATTACATGAATTTGAAAAAGCAACTGGTATAGAATTTACACATATCCGTCTTCTGGCAAGGGCATTTACTCATAGAAGTGTTGGTTACAATAATCTTACACTGTAAGTTATTACAGATTTTATTGAATTTTACTTCCTCTTATATTCATATAAATAAAGATCTTTTTGTTCTTAAATTCACTACTGAATTAAATTTTATTTTATTCTATTAAAATTTTAATTATAAATTTTTGTATAGAACAATTTCAATCATTGTTATATGGAATATGATATAATAAAGAGATAATAAAGTGCACATAATTAGAATATTATATTGTCAATATAATAAATAAACAGTTTATATTTACTTTATATGCCTTTCTCAAGTATTTGAGAATGGCATAGAAAGTAACTCCAAATAATAGAAACTTTATTCTCCAAATGTGAATACTTAAAACAGCATTTCATAAGACTATAGCCTGGTACTCACATACAGCAACGGACAACAGAAACCATTGATGGAACAGCAAAATGATGTCACTTTTGCCTTCAAAGCTGATGGAATATGAAGTTGAAAATTTTCAATTTTTTCCATGGCAGAAAGTGGAATGGTAAAAATTAGACCAATAGGAAGGCCATTTGACAATGTCATCATAAAGATTACGTGGGATGATAGCATTCAAACTATGGTGGTGGGCAAGGCTAAAAAGCTTTATTTAGATACTAATATACTAATATATTTCATTTATATGCTATATTACTATTCGATTTAAATATTAATGTCAAATAGACATACTTACTGCATAAAGTATTCAAAATGTCGTAATCGTAATTCAGTTACAAAAGTATTTGATATTCCTAACTTTCAATGATTTTGAATATTTTTCCTATCCAAGTTCTTCGTTTTTGAGCATATTGTGATAAGATCATAGGCAAAATATAACAAAGCAATCCTGGTAGGTGCCATTTTCAACTACTGGCACATGGCCGTAGCAGCAGTTTATTTTTACGGTTGGCATATGGTACACATTTCAGGTTATTGATGATCACATTATTGTAGGATACTTTCCGCATCTACCGACTAGCAGCCAGTTATCTGCATGAGCAAAGCATCTTGATTGACACTGGTAGCAATACATACCAAAGAAAAAATATTCACAGGGGTTGCCCACAGGGCTCCAAGTCTGGCCCGTACCTCTGGAACATCTTATATAACAACCTCCTGAAGTTGCAAAACAACACTCCGTCTGAGTATGATGTTCTTATCCAGGGGTACGCGGACGACACGACTCTTCTTCTCAGTCATGTCAATCATAAGGTCCTCCAAGACAGGGTCAATGCCACGCTATTAAGGATCTCTGATTGGTGTGTGAATAACAAACTCATTATTAACTATAACAAATGTAATGTTTTGGTATTTCCCAAAGGGAATATTCTAAAAAAGGGCCCTAGTATTAAAATAGATAACATCAAGATCAAGAATGCTACCAGTGTGAGGTACCTTGGTATTGTATTTGACCCAAAGCTTAACTGGACAGAACACGTCCACTATGTGTATGAAAAGGCTGTCAAGGTAGCACAAGCGCTAAAAACAATCAGTAGAAATCAGTGGGGATATGGCCCTTCCTCAAGCAGAATTTTATACACTGCTGTAATTGAACCTATTGTGACATATGGGGCAGAAATTTGGGGTACATCAGTGACAAGGGTCCATATCAAAAGAAAATTACTTTCGATCCAAAGAATAATGGCCATTAACATCGCTAAGGCATACAAGACTGCCCCTACTGAGGCCTTACTGGTAATCAACCGAACTCCCCCCATAGACATCAAAATTAGAGAGATCCTCATCAGATTCAACTTAATTAAACTGGCTAACAACCAAATCAACCAAGACCATTTCAATGCCATTGTTGGTAAGGAAGAGTTCGCACAGGATCTAATTTCTTTAGCGGCCACTATTGCCACAAATGGCTTTGATAAATGTTCACCTAATCCTATTCACCCAAGCTTTACTCCTTCTGTATCCCTCGAGACAAGCAACAGTGACGATCAGGACATTTGTATCTTCACCGACGGATCCAAAACAGACCAAGGTGTTGGGAGTGCCTTTGTGGCTTACAAAGGCAAAGTCTGTCTTTATCAGATGTACAGGAAGTTGGCTCCGCATTGCACCATTAATCAAGCGGAGTCTTTGGCCATCAGTAATGCCATCGATTGGATCTCCAACACGAATCATAACCGGACTAACCACAACTTCAGAATCTATACCGACAGTCGCATTGCGCTTCAACAGATCGCCAAAATAAACACCACTCTACCCATTGTGAAGAAATGTCTTGGCAATCTTCAAGCCCTGAAGAAAGGAAACATCAACGTCTACTTTCACTGGATTAAAGGTCATTCAGGGAGTGCGGGGAATGATAGGGCTGATCTTCTCGCTCGTTGTGCATCCGCAAAATCTAATAGCTGCACCTACAACAAGATAAGTAGTAAGCATTTGAACAATCTCATCCACAACATCATTCTAAAGACTTGGCAAGTCAGGTGGGACAACGGTTCTACTGGGAGGCTTACCCACTGCTTCCTTCCTTGCCCCACTGACAGCATGCTTCATCCAAGATATCCCACATTTCAGTTGACACAGCTCCTAACTGGTCACGGAAACCTGAACACGTACCTAAAAAGGTTTCTCAATAAAACAGACGGACTCTGTGATTGCGATTTGAAGGAGGAGGAAGATCCTAAGCACATAATCTTCTTCTGCCCACACTACTCTACGCAACGCAAGGAGTTAATTCGTACCATCAAGGACAACGGCTTCCACTGGCCATGTATGCTTAAGGACTTGATTTCTGACAAGAAAAACTTTTCAGCGATAAAAAGATTTGCTACAGGTATCAGGAAGCTCGACTATTCCCACTCTGCAATCTATGATCACCCTCAACTGACCATCTAGAAGTTCATCGTCTCCTCTCTCTGTATGTGTCAACTGTGTAATCTAGAGTATATTGTTTTAATGGTTCATTCTGTAATAAATTGGATAAGCTGTTCTATATGTTCCGCAGTTTTATGTTTTACACCAAACAGCTTCATCTGTTTCCTCTATTAATGTACTTCTGCTAACTGAAGTTAATTTGTTTAATAGCTTTGCTTGTAATCTGTTATACATGTTTACATTGTTGCGCCTTTTCATTTGTGTTGTACCCATCTGGCTCATTCTGTATTGTTTACTGTCCACACTGTATTAATTTTCTTTTAAATATAGGCGATGCAAGGCGCCAATGGGTCCCATGACCCACCTTCCCTCACTTCCCACTATCCTATCACACTTATCCCCTCCTTCAGCCCCTCCTTACTCTCAACTTCTTCTACCCTATCTCCACTTCCTTCTTATCATGGGCTATACCTCCGAGTTCGGCCCTGTCTCTTTCCTAACGCTGTGAGTACATGCAACATTGAAAGATAGTGGAATAGCAACCATTTCTGTCGTCCACATTCTAATTATAATTTTCATGAACTTTCACAATTCATTTTTAAATGAACTATATTATAATAAATCCAAACAAACTGCACTGTGTTTAGAAATTCAATAATTTACTGTTTTGTTCTGGATTAATTTATATTTTTATAATTGTTTATTAAAAAGTAATATAGTAAATTTAAACATTTAATAGTCATTTTTAAACAAATTAAAAATTTTTTTACAAAATGTATTTTAGATATCTATTTTTAATGATATCTAAATAATAATAAATTACATTTAAAATATATCTTAGAAAAATCTTAGATATTTTTTAATGAAAATTTTTTAAATGTTAAAAAACTATTTTTGAAATTTAATTAGTTAATAAAATATAGAGATTTTTATTATTTGATGAAAAATTTCACTGTAAAAAATTATTCCATATAACTGTAAAATATTGTCATGGAAAAATGGTGAATCAAAGTTCAGGCATAAACATTTTTATTTATGTACAAAATTGCAGATATTAGACAGAGAAGTAATAGAATAGTCAAAATTTAAACAGAATATAAATTAACACTAAGAATAAGAAAAAGAAGAGTTGAAATAGTTTTGTAATTCTCTTGCAATACTGGCAGGTGAATTCTAAAATTATATTAATTCTTGAGTATGTTCTAAAGCATCCTTTTTCAAAAGCTGTTGTAACTCCTGCTAATTGGCTGAGAATTTTTGGCAACAGAAGTTCATTTTAATTTTTTAAAATAATTTTTTCAGGTTATTTTCTTAACCTTAAGGTTATTTTCATATTCAGGTTAATTTTATAACCAATATTTATTATCTAAGATATTGGATATATGAATTATTAATTAAAAGTTTTAAAAATTATTTAGTCACATTTAGATTTTTCTTTTTATAATTTTTAGAGGATCTAATCAGCGGTTAGAATTTCTAGGTGATACTGTATTACAGCTTGTTGCATCTGAATATTTATATAGGCATTTTCCAGAACATCATGAAGGACATTTATCAGTAAGTTTAATAAATATTTAAATATTTATAATATTATAATTTTGTTGTAATTAGAGTAACTTAACATGTAGAAAAGTACATATTAAATGAAATTATATGCATTTAAATATATAAAAAGTATGAGAAATTGAGCAAAATTGAAGAGGGATCTTTTGAACTATTCAACTTTAAACACTGAGCATTTATATACTTAGTAAAAAAATGTTTGAATCAAAAAATGAATTATGAATTATTATTCTCTCTCCCTTTATGTACAGAATACAACAAGTGGCATTCTTTATTGCAGTTCTTTCCTAGATACATGTGTCTGTGGAAACTGCTTTTCCAAAAAGTTAAAAATTTAGTTTAAAACTACTATAAAATTTTCAAAAATAAAAGTTTTATAAAATGCTTTGGTGGGGTTTTTTGTGTGTGCAAAACAAACCCACTCCATTTAAATTGTCAAAATCTGGCATCATAAGGACCAATGTAATGACCTATAGGAAATCTTGTATTTATTTCTGTTGATTAATTGTAGTCAAATGTTGTACGTGTTTAAAATTTATTATTTTAAATCTAAAATGTGCATTTTAGGAAAAAAGAATTTCTTTATTCTAATTTATTTTAATAAAAATTTGATAAAAAGATTTAAAACAACCTTTTCTTTCATTAACACATTACTTTTCATTACTGTATAATTTTTTAAACTAGTTATTACGAAGTTCATTGGTAAACAATCGTACTCAAGCAGTAGTCTGTGATGATTTAGGTATGGTTGATTATGCCATTTATCCTTATCCTAAAGGTGATTTAAAAACTAAAGATCGAGCAGATCTTCTTGAAGGTATGTAGTTTATTATCATCTTTTAAACAGTATTAGTTTTATTGAATAAGTGTATTTAATGAACTTATTTTGATTTTTATGATTGATATTAAACATTTATTAAATTGAGAGAAAACACTTTGTTCTTTTTTTACTATATTAAAATGCTTCATCAAGTTATATATAAATGATCTTCAATTCTATAACTTTCTATGATTAAATTTTTATTACAGTAGAACCTCCATTATCCGGACCTCCATTATCCGGATTTTCGATTATCCGGATTGTTCAAAATAAACAAAAATTTTACGAATTTGCTGATTTGCACTTGGCGAATTATGACACTGTTTATGTACGTGATGNCCCAATTGGTCCGGATAATCGAAGTTCTACTGTATTTATATGATTAAAATTTCAAAAATATTAAATAAAAAGGAAAGTCAGTAAATAGGTCACAAACTGATATGTAACTAAAAAAATGACAATAATTTGTAAAAAGTGTTATTAAATGTTAGCATAATTCACTTTGATGATTAATTGAGGTAGCAGATTCTGTATTGCATGCACATGTTTAAACAGGTTTTTCAGTTCAGAGTACTTGACTTGGACTTGTTCAGTCTTTTCATTTTTACTTGGATTTGACATTTGATCTAAAATATGATGAGTCCAAGTGTAAAGTTCATGTATTTTAACAGCATTAAATAAAAATCAGTTGTTGATTGTTAAAACATTATTAGTAAAAATGTAAGGAAAGTAAATGTAATTAGTAAAGATAATCTGCTATTTGTATTTTACCATTATAAATCAGTAAAGATAAAATACAACTAGCTTAGTTTTGTCATCATATTTACAATACTGTCATTTCAGCTTGCCCTACAGAATTTTTAAGACACCTTGAGACTTTGCAGTGCACAAAGTTAAAATAGCACAAACCATAAATAGAAACTGCATTCTGATTCAGAAAATGATCAAATATTTTTTACAAATCTGGCAATACTGTTTGCAAAGTATGAGTATTTCTGTTATGTTCATTTACTTCATAAAGATTTAAAAGAAAAGCAGTTAGAAGTAAAAGCTACCAAAGAAATCAAATGTTTGGAAATTCTTTAAGGCAGTTTCAAAGTCAGAAACTTGATGGCCAGGTGGTAAGCATGAAGGTTCTGTTAAGGCATCAGCATACCATTCTAGGCATCTGAGATCTAGTCCAGGATAAACTCTCCTGAAATTTTTTATGGGTGATCTATCCAGATAAGTTGGGTCCCATTCCTTTCCACCCAGCTGCTCCATTGTGGCCTGGCTGAATTGCACAATGGATATGGAAAAACGATCCTCTTAATGCCAATAGGGCAAAAAGAGTAAAAAGAAAAACTATACTTTAAGTGAAATATTACTCATATTTATAATAAACTTTCTACATATTTATTGATATTTGATTCATTTCTGTTTAAGATATCTTGTTTCATATAATAGTGGTTTATTTTATGCACATTTGAGATGTCATGAAAAAGTATTGTCACAAACAACAATAATTTGGTAATTACTCATACAATTAAAAGATGTTTTCAAAATAGGATGTGAATTTTAATTATTTAATTGTATTTGCTAAATGTATGAAATATTGATATATATATATATATATAGGCCTAAGTAAAAAATAACTAAACTAGACAAAAATACTTTATTTGGACTTTGTTAAAAATATATAGATTTTTTTGTTGTTTGAATGTATCATATATGCCAAAGTTCAATAAACAAAAATCCATATATAGTATTTAAACACAAACTTGGACTTAGAAGTCTAGACTTAACTCAGACTCAAACTTGTCAAGTCTCAATATGCCAAGTTTTGCCAAACTCTGATGTCCATCTCAATTTAAAATGACAACTGTGCTTGTACAGTTGAAGAGTATTAAGCTATTGTGCATTTCTTATGGGAAAAAGGATTTTCTGCAAAAGAAATTAAAAGGAAAGATTTCATGTGTACATTGAGAAGTGTTTATTGCATAAAGCAGTGTATAATTGGGTTGATAAATTTTCTCAAGGACACTCAAAAGTTGCTGATGAAAGCTGACCAGGTTGACCTGAAATTGCAAGAGAAGTAATTGTGCATTAGGTGGGATGATTTGAGTTGATATGAGTTTATAGGCAAGTAAATGTAGATAGTGTAGTAACTGCCCTAGGTTGTTCTGATGGTTTAGCCTACACCATGATGCATCATCATTTGAATTTCTAAAATGTGTATGCATGGTGTATGCCCCAGAGAAGTTATGGAAGAACACAAAATGGCCTGTCCTTGCAGCATCTTGCTCAGTGTGAAGATGGACAAGACATAGTTAACAGGATAAAGCTAAAAATTATTATAAATTACAAAAAGTATGATGGATTATTGGATCATAAAAAACAGCAGGGGCTTTATTCCTATCTATATCATCATACTTTGTTAGAAAAACATCTTATTTTAGATTTTTATTAATATTTTTGAATTAATTAATATATATAATTTTTTACTTTTTCAGTTTCTGTACAGTAAATTAAGTAAATCTATAACTTACGACTTTTATCTTCTTTTCACATTAACATGTACAGCAGATAAATATGAAAAATGTTCAAGAATTTAATCATATCAATGATGCCTTAAACTTTTTTATATGGTGTGGCTCATGGTGATGTAGCAATACAGTGCTGGACTTTTGGATAACTACTGGGATCAAATCTCAATGGTTATTGATATGTGTGAGTCTGAGATCCATCTAGTCTCCTTTCCAATGGATATCTGAAGGGTGATTTCTGGAGAGTAAAATTAGCATCAACATTGGGCTAACTAATCTATTCATTTCTTTAGTAGGGTTGTGAATAGAGAAGACCATACATTCTTGCTTCCTGATATGCCTTTATAGCACTTTCAGGGAAACTGAATTGTTACCTTAATCTTTATTATATGGCAATTTTTACTTTTTTATCTCTTCATCTACTGTTATATTTCTAAACTTTCATAATTTCTAATTATTTTCAACAGTTTTGAATTCTTTAAGAATATTTTCAGTATATAAGATATGTAATGCAACATTCTATTTTTGTGATAAGATAATAGCTGTTCAATTTATTCTATTGATTGTTTTTATTATTGAAAAATAATCACACAACTCCAAAAGTTTAGAATGAATGCAAATGTGAAAATGCTTTTATGATAAAAAATTTATCTGAATTCAAGTTATTCTTGAATTGTTTATTTTGATTAAATGTCAAGATTTGTTCATCAATAACTTTCCACTGAGTCTCTATGTATCTAGTTATTTAAAAAATTGTTTATATTTCGGTTTATAATAGAAGTTATTACATTTCTATAAAATATAAAATAATTTTTTATAAAATTTTTAGCATTTCTAGGAGCATTATATGTAGATAAAGATCTTGAATATTGTCAAGTTTTCTGTCAAGTGTGTTTTTTCCCACGTTTACAGGTACAAAATGAATAATTGAACTAAATTTCTGTAAATATATGTTAAAATAGCAATAAACTAGTTTTTCTATAAAATCTTTAGGATTTCATTATGAATCAAGATTGGAATGATCCAAAATCAAAACTACAACAGTGTTGTTTAACATTAAGAACTATGGATGGTGGAGAACCAGATATTCCTGTTTACAAGTTAGTATTCCTTGTTTGCATATTGATAAATTAAGCTACTATTGTGTAATCCAGAATTGTAAATATATTATTCTATTATGTTAATGTTTTATCATATTTTGTATGATATTTTGGTGAGAAACAAATCTGATTTACTGTTGATAAAAACATATGATTTGAAAAATGGTTAGTTTAACACTAGACAAGATTATCATCTATTATTTGCTGAGATTGGTGGATGTTACATGTTTTAAACTTTACTAGCTCAGTTTACATAATTCTATACAAACATTTTAGGCTGACTAGTTTATCTCTATACATGTCTAGTCAAAATTGTGTGTGTGTGTATATATATATATATACAATGTAATTTTGACTAGACATGTATAGAGATAAACTAGTCAGCCTAAAATGTTTGTATAGAATTATGTAAACTGAGCTAGTAAAGTTTAAATATATATATATATATTATTCACTACAACAGTAAACAGATTAGAATCTATTGACCAAGTGCAAATTAATAAGTTTTGATCATACTTTTTACATTTAATAGTCAAATTCAATCTATTTTCTCTCTCCTTCACAGTATTACTGTATATTCTATACTTTAGTGTTAGTTCAGAAAATGTTCTCAACTATGTATTAGTACCTCTGCACATATTTACAATCACATTACATCTCAATATTCTGTGGTTATTAATACTCTTGTAAAAATCTCTTAATTAATGAACCACCACTACAGTCAATTTTTTAAAACAATTTCCAAATTCAACATTTAATCTTTAGAAGTTCAATTATCAGAAGCAAAAGGATGTTTTATTTTTTCTTGTTTTGTTTGTTTGTTTACTGAAGAAGAAATATTGCCTATTGATACACTAAAATAATAAAAATTACTTATCTTTTTAAAAGGCATATTCATATTTAATCTTAGTATTTACATTATTTTTGTTGTGATTAAATTTTCAATTTTGTATACAAAAACCTCCACCACTATAAAATTCAGCCAAGTGTATCACTGTGATTAACTTGGCAACAANGCTGAATTGCACAATGGATATGGAAAAACGATCCTCTTAATGCCAATAGGGCAAAAAGAGTAAAAAGAAAAACTATACTTTAAGTGAAATATTACTCATATTTATAATAAACTTTCTACATATTTATTGATATTTGATTCATTTCTGTTTAAGATATCTTGTTTCATATAATAGTGGTTTATTTTATGCACATTTGAGATGTCATGAAAAAGTATTGTCACAAACAACAATAATTTGGTAATTACTCATACAATTAAAAGATGTTTTCAAAATAGGATGTGAATTTTAATTATTTAATTGTATTTGCTAAATGTATGAAATATTGATATATATATATATATATAGGCCTAAGTAAAAAATAACTAAACTAGACAAAAATACTTTATTTGGACTTTGTTAAAAATATATAGATTTTTTTGTTGTTTGAATGTATCATATATGCCAAAGTTCAATAAACAAAAATCCATATATAGTATTTAAACACAAACTTGGACTTAGAAGTCTAGACTTAACTCAGACTCAAACTTGTCAAGTCTCAATATGCCAAGTTTTGCCAAACTCTGATGTCCATCTCAATTTAAAATGACAACTGTGCTTGTACAGTTGAAGAGTATTAAGCTATTGTGCATTTCTTATGGGAAAAAGGATTTTCTGCAAAAGAAATTAAAAGGAAAGATTTCATGTGTACATTGAGAAGTGTTTATTGCATAAAGCAGTGTATAATTGGGTTGATAAATTTTCTCAAGGACACTCAAAAGTTGCTGATGAAAGCTGACCAGGTTGACCTGAAATTGCAAGAGAAGTAATTGTGCATTAGGTGGGATGATTTGAGTTGATATGAGTTTATAGGCAAGTAAATGTAGATAGTGTAGTAACTGCCCTAGGTTGTTCTGATGGTTTAGCCTACACCATGATGCATCATCATTTGAATTTCTAAAATGTGTATGCATGGTGTATGCCCCAGAGAAGTTATGGAAGAACACAAAATGGCCTGTCCTTGCAGCATCTTGCTCAGTGTGAAGATGGACAAGACATAGTTAACAGGATAAAGCTAAAAATTATTATAAATTACAAAAAGTATGATGGATTATTGGATCATAAAAAACAGCAGGGGCTTTATTCCTATCTATATCATCATACTTTGTTAGAAAAACATCTTATTTTAGATTTTTATTAATATTTTTGAATTAATTAATATATATAATTTTTTACTTTTTCAGTTTCTGTACAGTAAATTAAGTAAATCTATAACTTACGACTTTTATCTTCTTTTCACATTAACATGTACAGCAGATAAATATGAAAAATGTTCAAGAATTTAATCATATCAATGATGCCTTAAACTTTTTTATATGGTGTGGCTCATGGTGATGTAGCAATACAGTGCTGGACTTTTGGATAACTACTGGGATCAAATCTCAATGGTTATTGATATGTGTGAGTCTGAGATCCATCTAGTCTCCTTTCCAATGGATATCTGAAGGGTGATTTCTGGAGAGTAAAATTAGCATCAACATTGGGCTAACTAATCTATTCATTTCTTTAGTAGGGTTGTGAATAGAGAAGACCATACATTCTTGCTTCCTGATATGCCTTTATAGCACTTTCAGGGAAACTGAATTGTTACCTTAATCTTTATTATATGGCAATTTTTACTTTTTTATCTCTTCATCTACTGTTATATTTCTAAACTTTCATAATTTCTAATTATTTTCAACAGTTTTGAATTCTTTAAGAATATTTTCAGTATATAAGATATGTAATGCAACATTCTATTTTTGTGATAAGATAATAGCTGTTCAATTTATTCTATTGATTGTTTTTATTATTGAAAAATAATCACACAACTCCAAAAGTTTAGAATGAATGCAAATGTGAAAATGCTTTTATGATAAAAAATTTATCTGAATTCAAGTTATTCTTGAATTGTTTATTTTGATTAAATGTCAAGATTTGTTCATCAATAACTTTCCACTGAGTCTCTATGTATCTAGTTATTTAAAAAATTGTTTATATTTCGGTTTATAATAGAAGTTATTACATTTCTATAAAATATAAAATAATTTTTTATAAAATTTTTAGCATTTCTAGGAGCATTATATGTAGATAAAGATCTTGAATATTGTCAAGTTTTCTGTCAAGTGTGTTTTTTCCCACGTTTACAGGTACAAAATGAATAATTGAACTAAATTTCTGTAAATATATGTTAAAATAGCAATAAACTAGTTTTTCTATAAAATCTTTAGGATTTCATTATGAATCAAGATTGGAATGATCCAAAATCAAAACTACAACAGTGTTGTTTAACATTAAGAACTATGGATGGTGGAGAACCAGATATTCCTGTTTACAAGTTAGTATTCCTTGTTTGCATATTGATAAATTAAGCTACTATTGTGTAATCCAGAATTGTAAATATATTATTCTATTATGTTAATGTTTTATCATATTTTGTATGATATTTTGGTGAGAAACAAATCTGATTTACTGTTGATAAAAACATATGATTTGAAAAATGGTTAGTTTAACACTAGACAAGATTATCATCTATTATTTGCTGAGATTGGTGGATGTTACATGTTTTAAACTTTACTAGCTCAGTTTACATAATTCTATACAAACATTTTAGGCTGACTAGTTTATCTCTATACATGTCTAGTCAAAATTGTGTGTGTGTGTATATATATATATATACAATGTAATTTTGACTAGACATGTATAGAGATAAACTAGTCAGCCTAAAATGTTTGTATAGAATTATGTAAACTGAGCTAGTAAAGTTTAAATATATATATATATATTATTCACTACAACAGTAAACAGATTAGAATCTATTGACCAAGTGCAAATTAATAAGTTTTGATCATACTTTTTACATTTAATAGTCAAATTCAATCTATTTTCTCTCTCCTTCACAGTATTACTGTATATTCTATACTTTAGTGTTAGTTCAGAAAATGTTCTCAACTATGTATTAGTACCTCTGCACATATTTACAATCACATTACATCTCAATATTCTGTGGTTATTAATACTCTTGTAAAAATCTCTTAATTAATGAACCACCACTACAGTCAATTTTTTAAAACAATTTCCAAATTCAACATTTAATCTTTAGAAGTTCAATTATCAGAAGCAAAAGGATGTTTTATTTTTTCTTGTTTTGTTTGTTTGTTTACTGAAGAAGAAATATTGCCTATTGATACACTAAAATAATAAAAATTACTTATCTTTTTAAAAGGCATATTCATATTTAATCTTAGTATTTACATTATTTTTGTTGTGATTAAATTTAACTTTATTTTTAATTATAATAATATAATATTGCATATGTTTAGTTAAATTAATGTAATAATACTGCAAGAATGTGTGCATCAGCTCATAGACTTTATTTTTTGCATTTTTATGCATTAAAAAAATCACTTTAAAAATAAATATTGCTTTGCAAAGCTAAAGATTATAATAAAATACTTTAATTGAACAAAACTACATGCACAAAAGATTAGTTTTTCAAGCAAGTTTTTGATCTAATCAAAACTTGCTTATTTTTTTATATCGGTTTTTTGCTCATCATCATAATCTATTGTATAGAATAAAAATTCTATTACCACAAAAATATAATTTAAACAAAATATTATGAAACAGTAAGAAATTAAAAAAAAAACAAAAAAATAACAAAAAAATAAAACTATTGTTTTGTGGAACATAACATTATAATATCAGGGCATATAACCAGACAATATAAAAATTATAGCAGAGATAAATTATGTTTTCTTGGTAATAGTTTTTATTCATTACACTGGTTTCTGATGATGATTCAAGTAACTCAAAACTACAAACATAGATTATATTTGTAGTTTTGCTTCATTGAAGCATTTTATTATTGAATTTGATAAATATAGGGTTTTTAATTATTAATTATAGAGAATTGCATTGTTAATAATTTCTTTCTTTATCCCTTCGAACAATGTTTATTATAAATAGAAATCTAAGTTGGATCTTAGATTTCTATTTATAATAAATCAACACTAATAATCTTAATAAAGACAGGAACCTCAAGATTCAAAGCAAACATCTAATACAATCTAAAATTAATTTAAGCTTTCAAAAAGTTTCATGTAAAATTCCCATATGGTAAAATTTAAAATCCAGAACATGTTAAGATATTTGTGGATGTAGAAAGTACCTTAACAACAACTCTAGTCAGGGGATATGTGCAGCTTTACTAAGAAATTGATGACTGAAGAGGATTGCTAGAGATACTCAAAATGCATCTCATCATAAAAATGAAATAAAGTTGTTTCATCACTCAAGCCTCGTCTTGTGTTCTTTTAGAAGAACAAAGAAAAAAATTTAGAGTTGTAAACTTTGTTAAAGATTATTTATTATATACTTTTTCAGTTTATTTAAACGTTTTTCAGGTAAAGGTTTGAATAAATATAGTTTAATAATGGAATACACTGAACTATGGAATAAATTATAAAAAAATATTTATCAATATTATCACTATTGTTACAAGGTACTTTATTTCTAAATACACTAGACTCAGAACAATATAATCAATTTTCATTTTGTTTGTAATATTTACATTTCACCCTTGCAAATATTCCTATTTAGTTTCTTACTTAAAAAAGCTTTGAAGTTTTTTTCATTGAGAATTAATCTTACTCGTACATAGACTCATCGTAATTATGTTTTCTTTTCTTGTTTAAAAATTATTTATGATAACATTTCTTCTGTTTTTTGTTCACTGAGGAAACATTATCATAACCAATTTTTAAATAAGAGAAAAAAATGTAATTGTGATGAGTCTATGTAAGATTAATTCTTAATGGAAAAAAAATGAAAGTACCATTATATATTGTTTTTATAAAATGTTTCTGAATTAGTCATAATAAAGTTAATTTAAACCAAATAAAATTAAATACTTCTATAATGTTAATCTAAATTTTTTAAGTCAAGATTTTCAATAATATATCTGCAGATATATTTTGAATTATTATTGCAATAAACTTAAAATATATTATGAGTAGTAAACAGAACTGAAGTATAATTTGTAATTAATTTTTAGAGTAATTGAATGTAAAGGACCAACAAATACTAGAGTATATACCGTTGCTGTGTATTTTAGAGGTGAGCGTCTGGCTACTGGCTTTGGACACAGGTAAATTAGACAGAGTGAAAATATTTAAACAATTAAAATTGTAATATTTAATCATTTTAATACAAATTTTATTGTATATTAGTATTCAACAAGCAGAAATGGCTGCTGCTTCAAATGCATTAGATTCTTCAAAAGGTACTTATTTACTTAAGTTTTTTAATATAATTAATTAAATAATTATTATATTATTAAGTCACAACATGAATTTGTCAAAAATTTAATTTATTTCAGCCAATCTCTTCCCACAACTTGGTCATCAGAAGAGGGTTATTGAACGTAGCATGAAACAACAAGATCATCATTTAAAACAGAAAGAAAATCCTTAAAATTTTAAT